TTTAGTATTGAATATAGGTAGTGTTGATTGAATGTAGTGTGTGTATTTGGAATTTTAGCACAAGAACAAAGGATGGTACCTAATTTAAACTTTATTGACTTAAATTATTGAATTATTGACTCGCAATTGTTATTAAAATGACACAGTATGTTTCGATTTTTGAGGAATGTTAGTTCGAGGGTTTCTCTGCCGTGCTGTTTCCCCTCGTTAGTTCCAGAATGAGAACGATACGATTTAAGGTCTGGACACACATGACCGCACCGTATCCGCACCGAGCCCGCACCGAGTCCGTGCAGTAACACGGCAGTGTGTCGCTCAATAAGGTAAAAGCCACACATTTCCAACACACGGCCGCATGACGGTCGTACTACGAGTGCGGTCGGTAGTTTGTCACTTCGTCAGTTGGCTTCCTGCCTGTACGTGTGCAGATTCACCCTGTATAGTAGGTATAATCAATTTCAACCTATTTTAACAGGATTCTTAATTGAAAATAAAACATATGTATTTTGACTTACCCTTTATTTCTAAATGCGTAGCAATTAAAGTCCATACCCTTTCCTTATATTCAGCATTCCTATATTTTTCATTTCTTTGGTCGTACAATACAGGATACTTTTTGACTTCTTCTATCAGTTTCTCCATTTCTGCAACGCACCGTGCCCGTCAAAAATTAAACAAAACTAATCTCGCACGGTACGGACGCGGTGCGGTGGTGTCACTCGGGCTCGGCGCGGGCACGGTGCGTAGATGTGAAGACTACGACATAAGAAAACACGGTACAACTATTCACCGAGACACGGCCGTGTCTCGGTGCGGGCTCGGTGCGGACTCGGTGCGGTCATGTGTGCCCAGACCTTTACTTTAATAATAAAGTAGACGTTTCACAAATTTTTCGTTTCTTTCACATATCACAACTTCCCTTAAATTTCCTAAATATTTGCTATGTCGGGCGCATGTCCAGTAAATAAAATTGAGTATAAGTTTCTACAACGTACGTCTTATTTGTTTTTCATTTCATTTTTCAGAAGATTTGTTGTTTAAAAGGTAATAAAAATTCTCATCGTCCAATCTTACTGAACGAACCCTGGTATGTTATATGTTATACTACACTACAAATTGCTTCTATGTTCGTCAACTGATTAGGTAGGTACTTAGAAACTTTAAAATAATATTAACAAAACACACAATTTTTTATCTAAGTTTACATCTCACAATTTTCTCGCTCTCCGTTGTTCACTTTTCTGTTTTTTTTTTTGTTCTAAACGTAACTATATCGCCGAGCTGGTTAGAGAAATGACATTTACCGTTTCCTCACCCGGTTACAAAGTTACGTCATCGATACCACTACATAGAATTTGAGCGGTATGTTAAACCGGAGCCACGTGAAAAGGGCTTCAACAATCATTATTGCCGTCCTATTTTTGATTGATTGGTTCCTTGAAATCCTATACAGGGTGTCAATTTGAAAACTTCCCACCCCTATTATTTTGGAGTAGAAAAACTTCCGAAAAAATCCCTGAAACACGTCAACTATAATTTGAAAAGGGATACCTAAGTTTTTATGCAAAATTCACCTCCCTTCTTTCAACCTCCTAACCCTCAGAGCCACCTCTTAGAAAATCTTAAATGGAAAGAGGGGTCAACTGATACATCATTTTGCAGGGTTTTTAATTCCATACATTCTGGTATACCAAATTTCAATACCTAAGTTCAACTGTTTTGGAGATATTGATAGTTAGAAATTAACTTTTTTGCAACTTTGACAGGCTGTAAAACCTAAATGGTTAATTTAAGAGGAAAACCAATCTTACATTCTTGTCTTAGATTTTCATAAACTATCATTTGACACCAACTTTAAACCAGAGATTAGATTACATTTTTAACCAGAATTTTTGATCATGGATTAAATTCAAAGTTGCTGTCAAATGATAGTTTATAAAAATCTAAGATAAAAATGTAAAAACGGTTTCCCTCTAAAATTAACCGTTTAGGTTTTACAGCCTGTCAAATTTGCAAAAAAGTCAATTTTCAACTGTCAATATTTCCAAAACAGTTGAACTTAGGTATTGAAATTTGGTACCAAAATGTATGAAAACCCTGCAAAATGATGTATCACTTGACCCCTCTTCCCATTTAAGATTTTCTAGGGGATGGCTCTGGGGGTTGGGGGGTTGAAAGAGCGGAGGTGAATTTTGCATAAAAACTCATCCCCCTTCAAATTATACTTGAGGTGTTTCAGGGATTTTTTGAAAATTTTTCTACTCCGAGATACTTAATAGGGGTGGGAAGTTTTCAAATTGACACTGTATGTATTCATACCTAATATTGAAAATGAATAAGAATATGGCGGCGAGACTTCTATAATATTAGGTTTGTTCGGACTTAGTTCAGAATCAGTTCTGAATTGAAGTGCGCTTGCGCATTTGTTCATATCGAACAAACCTAATGTCGTCACTGTGTGAAAAGTTTTATCAAGTCACTGTAATTATTATTATTATTTTCCATTTAATTTCCCACCTGTAGATTTCGCGCTAAAACAATAACCTATTATTTGCTGAGTCAGTCATGTGCGATGGTGGTGTAATGGTCAGCATAGTTGCCTTCCAAGCAGTTGATCCGGGTTCGATTCCCGGCCATCGCATCAACTTTTTTTTTTCGCTAACTGGATTTTTCAATTATTCATGTAGCCATCTGTCCCATCCCTATAACTTACTACCGATAATAAACATTTTACGACACTGCCTTATCTCTGCTTGACTGTTATCCGCTTTAAATATGATTAGGACGTTAACGTGTCGGCGTTTTCCTCAATTTTATTGCCGGTGCATCCGCGATTACGCATTGAAAGCAATTAAATTTTACTCGTTAAATTTTTGTTTATGGTGCGGAAATCAGGTTAATACAAACTTAAAATACACTATGTTACGTAAATTCAAATTTTCAATTTTTTATTATCGCATCCCAAACGGTTGATTTACCACCCACTGTGTCGGTACCCAGGGTTCCATCAAAAAAGGCACCCTATAAAAGGGCTTCTGAAGCTGATTACAATAAAATGGTCGTTTATAATCAACACTCCCATTGTTTTTTTGCCAAGGGACATGGTTTATGATGATAGCTATAAACCTCATGTTTTTCCTGCATTGCTAGGGGTGGTAAAAGGGACCCAGCGGGTTCCTTTTTGAGAAAAATTGGTTGTTTATTTAAGTGATAATAAACTTTAAATTGTAGTGTTATAAAATTGTATAACATTTTATTATGTAGGAAGGTTGGGCTAATATAAACAAGATACTTTTTCTGGCACTTCTTTACTCAGAAATACCATAAAATTATGTAAAGTTTTTATTTAAAAAAAAAAACCGTTACTTTACTACCTTTTGATTTGGATTTTTGAAAACTTTGAAAAACTATAAGTACATATTATATCAAATTCTATTAGGTATAATCATAGAATGAGGACTACAATTTCTAATCCCTGATTTCATCTATTTAGACTTTGAGATAAAATCATACTTACATGGTTCACTCTCAACCAGAAGGCATTTCGAATCCAATAATATTTATGACGGTGTACATTTCTGCGAGGGTTCAAATAGCCCTTAGTTATCATAATAAGAAAACAGACCACATGGGGCCACCAATTATTGAAGATTCTGGGGTGAGTATTGAGCCAAGGTGCTTTCTCCCCCTCAGGAAATAAATTATAAAAAATCTATTCAAAAAATGCACTTTCCTAGCCTAAAGTAATAAATCTTCATAATCCAATGGATGCAGTCATTAGAATTCATAGACTCGCGGCCCGTAAGTCAATCATCGATAGAAATATATTTAAATTATTCATATTTTTAAAAGAAGACGATGAAATATGTTCAAGACAGCCTGCTAGCAGGATGGTTTTTTATTAAATTTATGTCGAAATAGCGTGAAAGCATTTTAAATTCAGATTATTGACTGTAATAGATAAATTTGTACTTTTACTTGTTATTTAAACCAAACTGATTTATTGTAAGCCCAAGGGACAAAAAGTCTTTTCATATCGTGCTCGTGAGATTTTAGAAACAACATTATTGCAAATTATCCCCGACATTTAAATGACAGATAAAAGCCGTTGTGTCTGGAAGGCGAAATTTGTGCAATTTTGTCCTGACCAAAGATATTTCTCTTGTTTGATGCCGCAGGTATGCTTTTGAGATTTACCGCTCTTTGAATAGTAGCTTTGAGAATGGAGAGTTTTAAAAATACAGTAGTCATCCTGTAATACAATACCTGGGCTGAAACAAGCCATTGTTTTTATGAAGAAACATTAGTTAAACATTTTTTAAACAAAGAACTTGCATAATAATAGAACCGTTATGGAAAAAGGAACAATGACATTTTCATTATTATTTTAATGTTTCAAGGAAGTAATTTGTTGTTACATGATATGGTTTCAAATTATTAATATGTATGGAGAATGTACTTTTGGCCACCCAAAAAAGCATTCCAGAAGTGATGCATAACAAAACAAAATATCCCAGCCTGAAAATCCAATATAATCTCCCAGCTATGCAATGCTATTTTCCAGGTCCTGAACTCCAGAAATCAGGCTTAAAATTAGACTCAGGCCCCGTTAGATTTACGGGAACCTTTCACTTTGTATTTTGTAACTGGTGACGCGGACACACAACATCGAAATGTGGCAGGTGAAAGATCCAGACTTATAATTCCATTGGAAAAAATTCTCCTTGTATTTTCATAGACTCATTCCATTTATTTTCTAGAAACATTACGTGAGAAAGGGACATATGTCAATGGTGGTAAAGGAACGCCCTATGCAATAAAGGGGGTCTAAGGGCGGCAGTATATATTTGAGTAAATTGCCCTATTGTAGCGATTTTTATGGGCTTAGGAATTATGGATGCCTTTACAATGGAATAGGGTCTTAGCTAATGATGTAGAGAAATAAATGTTGGCCCTTAATTTTTTGGTTTAATAAAACAATTACAAATTATTTAATATTTATTTACACAATATCTAAATCACATATAAACTGTACAAAGAATACATTTGGTCAAAATCAGCCTTCAAGCTTATACAAAATTTCTGAAATAATCACAGCCCTATTGGATTCATATATCTTCCAGGAGGCGACCTATTATATCGCCTAGGATTAGGAGAATCTGACATACGTAATGTAGGCGAGGCAGGTATAAAATCTGGAATTTCAGCGTAATATTGCTGAGACAAACATGATGGTTTTGCTATAGAATCACTTGGAGAAGCATAGCCGTCCTGAAGAGGCACCGCATATTCGAAATCTTGAATGTCAGCATAGTCAGAGGACATATTAATGAGATCTAAAGCAAAATTAAGAAATATTATTTATATAGTTTAGCATAAAAATCTCACCTAAAGGAGCTGGCTGATATAAAGTCCCTTTATCAGCAATCTGACTTGGCCTCTGCATATTTTTATACTTTCTTTGTTGGACTATCACGAAAATCATTATTCCTACCAAACACACCAGAAGCAATAAAACACCAATCGAAATCCCTATGTAGACTCCCATATGGTCACTATTTGAGGTTGTTACTAAATTTTCACTCATGTTGAACTTTTTAGAATCAATGACCTCTTCAGTAGTTTCTTCAGTGAAATTGCCTGCAATAATAGAACTTTCAAAATTAATTTCACTTATCAAAATCCATTTGGCTGCAAAATAAAGTTGAAGCTTCACAAATTTTCCCATTCTATGATGTAGTTTCACCGTCACGTTTCGTGCATTATCAAAAATTCTGTCTTCAATATACTCGTACACTATTGGATCACCTTTATAGTGTTCACCGTCTAAACTGAAATATATTTTGACACAACTAAACACTTGAATATCGCGAAGGAATTGGTTGTTAGTGTACAAGTGCACTGTCCTAAATTCTCGAGGCTTATCGAAATCGAACACTATTTCTATTGGTTGATGTGATCTGGTATCGTTTTTCCAACCAATCCAGTTTTGGAGTGAAATTTCTTGAAACGGTAGTCTAAAATCATCTGGGGATGTTTGCCCATCCACCAACTGACCTAAGCCTTGAAGGAAACATTAATTTGTTTTTAGAACCTAGGAATATTTCTTACCGTGTTTAAGAATCATTCCTCTTTGTCCATCGTAAGCAAAATCGCGAAACTCCCAATTAGTTCCTCGTTTATCTCCCTCAGGCATTGAATAGCTTTCAATACCGTCAGACCATTTGCAACCATAAATTTCCACTCTCATGCAAACGAATCTCTGTATAGCACTGTAGGGAAGGAATCTGATTTTGCTCGCCCATATTGGTGGATCTAGAATAGTTTTTTCCTCTAGGTATGTATTAACGTTTCCTTTAAGAAGGTGACCGTTGACTTTTGACCGGTAACGTACCCATTTATTCAAACTTGGCCTGCAATAATGTATGTGTAATTTTTTTTTTTTTTTAATTTGATTTAGAATATTTACCTATAGTATTCCAAGACATATTGTTCAGCATATTCAACTCCTTGGCCATTACCAAACCGTCCCTGTATTTCTGTGGCAGTTATCATGTGAACTATATGTAAATCAATTTCAATCCACTCTCTTGTTTCGGGAGTGGCTTGGTTTTGCGGACACCAAGCTCCACCATTGAGTTCATTACGCACCCTAAATGATTTGATTGATTATCAACTTAATTTTGTTGTTGGTAAATTTACCTGCCATGATGAGGTCCAACATTTCCGTGATCAAATGATGAACTTGCTGTTATGTCTTGGTTTTTGATTGCACCACTTTGCATCCCAAGAGGAGCGATACATTGAGCTAAAAGAGAGTTAATGTGATGAAATTTTTCTAGAAAAATCTAATAAAGTCACACTTACAAGGCTCCACACTTTGCACGTCCGCAAACAACAACGGCACAAGGGGGACGAAAAAAATCGCCAGATTCTCTCGTATTTTTCTCATTTGTGCCTCTTTGATTTTTCCGCTTGGCAGACGTCGACCTTTTGATGAAAAATTCAAGAAGGGGAAACACGTTACTACTTCATTTCTGAAACAATAGATTATTTTTTTTAGGTCCAGTTGGCAGATTTAATGAGTATTATTTTTTTTTATACTCAACACATTTTAGTTAATAAATGATCCCATAAAGGTAAAGGATCGATGATTACGTATTCGAGTAGCGGCATATATCGGAAAAGGTCTTGCAGAAAACGCGGCAATAAATTCTTGAGACGGGTTTTTCATTGCCAGAATGCGAAACTGGCATTTTTAGGATGAAGAGTTCCTCCCTTTCACTGTATACGTTGCGTATTTTCATATGGCCAGCACGTGCTGTTAGGCGGACGTGAGTAAATTCACCCGAATAAGAATACTTAGCTACTTAATTTCAAGCTCAAAATAGGGTTAGTTAAGTGAGCCCCCCCCATAGAAAATTTCTGGATGAAAATTATCCCATAATTTTGCTCTATTTTGCTCCACTAATTTCGATTTTTGCTCCATTACAGTGGAGAGACTATGTGGTCTATTAGGTGGGGGGGGGGGCTGATTAACGCTAGCCCTCCCCAGTGAAAATTCAGGAATTTGATCATGCTCATTTTGTTCTCCGAGTTTTGCTCCATTTTACTCCATTATCGGCGAGTTTTGCTCCATTACCAGGAGAGACCTACAGAGCTCCCAACATTCTCTCCCAGCCCCCCCCTTCTCCAGTTGAAATTCTAAAATTTGATCCTGCTCATTTTGTTCTCCGAGTTTTGCTCCATTTTGCTTCATAATCGGCAAGTTTTGCTCTATTACCAGGAGCGAGGGGGAAATCACCACAAAAAATTGTACACCAAAATTCGCCTTCCGAAAAAAATTCCCCAAAATTCCCCAAAAGTATTCGAAATTTCCCAAAATACCTACCAACTTTAGAAATTCCCTGGAATTTCACTAAATTTCTCGGAGTTCCCCGAAATTCCTTCAAAATTCCCCGAAATTCCTCTAGCACCATTTGATAATTAGACGGATCGTAGCAATAAATTAGACCATAAAAAATTTTGTATTCATGTTGTGGAATATTTTTGTGTAGAACAGTACGGCAGTTTTCTTCACAGATTGCAAATTTCACGTGCACGTTTACCAAATTGCAAATACTTAAATACCCCTGTAATTTTCCCCTCGGAGTACCCTTATGAAAAATTCGATTTTTTTATTTTTTAGTTTTGCTCAATTTTGATCTTATGAATCAATAGAGCGGGTTAAAATTAGTGGAAAACGACCCTGATATCAATGCCAAATGGCCATTTTAACCAGACACAAAAATAAAAAGAAAATCCTATTTTTGGCTCTGGAAAATTTTCAAAATCCTGACATGGTCATGAACAATTGCCCATATCTTTGGTAAATTTTGAGCAAATTGGAATAAATTATACATCATTGGAAAGAGCCTTAAATTCTCTATAATTCTGTACAAAATTGAGCTCGATAGCTCGGATAGTTTTTGAGCAATTGAGCCTTAAAGTTGACTTTTAGTCCAAATTTTGTCAAAAACTTCAAACTCAATTTGCTCAGAAACTGGAAATCTGGAGATATTGTAAATTACAGGCGATTTAGAACTTGATAAAAGCTACAAATTCTGGAAACTTTAATGGAATTTGCTCAACGGTTACCGAGTAATTGAGGTTTGAATATTTTGAAATCAGAATTCAAAGAGGGTACCCCGAGGGGGAAATCACTACACAAAATTGTAGGTACACTAAAATTCCCCTTCCGGAAAAAATTCTCCAAAATTCCCCGAAAGAATACGAAATTTCCCAAAATACCTACCAACTTTGGAAATTCCATGGAATTTCACTAAATTTCCCTGTAGTCTCCAAAATTTCTCGGAATTCCCCGAAATTCCTTCAAAATTGTCCGAAATTCCTCTAGCACCATTTGATAATTAGACGGATCGTAGCAATAAATTAGACCATAAAAAATTTTGTATTCATGTTGTGGAATATTTTTGTGTAGAACAGTACGGCAGTTTTCTTCACAGATTGCAAATTTCACATGCACGTTTGCCAAATTGCAAAGATTTTGAAAGAATTTTGTGAAATATTATGCGATATACGGCTGAAATTCCTCAAAATTCCTCGAAATACCGTCGAAATTTCCCGAAATACCCCTAAATACCCCGAAATTTCCCAAAATTCCTTGAAATACTTTGTAATACCTTGAAATTCCCCTACAATTCCTTGCCTCTGTACACTTAAATACCCCTGTAATTTCCCCCTCGGAGTACTCTTATGAAAAATTCGATTTTTTTATTTTTTAGTTTTGCTCAATTTTGATCTTATGAATCAATAGAGTGGGTTAAAATTAGTGGAAAACGACCCTGATATCAATGCCAAATGGCCATTTTAACCAGACACAAAAATAAAAAGAAAATCCTATTTTTGGCTCTGGAAAATTTTCAAAATCCTGACATGGTCATGAACAATTGCCCGTAAAGATTTTGAAATAATTTTGTGAAATATGGGATATACGGCTGAAATTCCTCAAAATTTCTGGAAATATCGTCGAAATACCGTCGAAATTCCCCCGAAATACCCCTAAATACCCCGAAATTCCCCAAAATTCCCCAAAATATCTCGAAATACTTTGAAATTCCCCTACAATTCCTTGCCTTTGTACACTTAAATACCCCAGTAGTTTCTCCCTCGACCAGGAGAGACCTACAGAGCTCCCAAAGATCTCTCCGGGGGGGGGGGGGGGGTCTCTCCTGGTAATAGAGCAAAACTCGCCGATTATGAAGCAAAACTCGGAGAACAAAATGAGCATTTCAGAATTTTCACTGAGGGGAGCTGGGAGAGATTCTTGGGAGCTCTGTAGGTCTTTCCTGGTAATGGAGCAAAACTCGCCGATAATGGAGCAAAATGGAGTAAAACTCGAAGAATAAAATAAGGGGGGGGGGGGGCTAGCGTGAATTCTGGAAGTTTTAAGATGCTGTGATAAGCAAAAATATTAATTACAAACTTTCAATAGTGATTTTAAAGGAAATTGATTATTTTTTGGAGGTCAAAGTGGTGAAAACATCATAAATACCAGTCTGAGCGTCAGATCAACTTCTCAATTGGTTTTTGATTTAAAAAAAAAAAAACTCAATTTATGAATTCTGCAAGTTTAAAGATGCTGTGATAAGCGAAAATATTTATTACAAACTTTCAATGGTGATTTTAAAGAAAATTGAAATGTCTCAAAAACTATTTAGGATGAATGATTCAATTTTTTTTTATCCTGAAAAGCATTTAATTTTGATTAGGCATATGAAAATATGTATTGATTGATTGATTGATTGATTTGAAAGGGAAACCTTCACCAGGCAGCACGTAGTCCGATTTTGTGTAGGTGGTATCTGACCACTTGGTTCGTCCGACAGTGTTCACTCGCTTATCATCGGTGTCATAGAGAGTGAGCCTAATGTTAAGTCTATCACCTCTTGTCTACGCGAAGTGACAAAGTTCGGTGTGCTGCCACTGTTCAGAATTTTTAAATCCGTGGTGTGAAGGTACTCCAAAAGACTGAGCCTTCTCCCAGTTCGTGTGCAACGGAAGGTCCAGTAAGTTACAGTACTCTATCAAATCGATGAACACATAAGGCAAATAGGCCGAGCAAACTAGTATCAATCTGTTCTGTCTCAGTCTGTCCTTGAAGCATAGCTTTTCCGCTACTGTCTCTAAAGCAGAAGTTGCCTATTAGAGTGGACTTGATTCGTCTGTCTACATAGATGCAACTCCTTGGGTTCAGTTGGAAGACCTTTTTATAGAAAAAAGATCTTGCCACTCTGCCTAATCCTCTTACGCGACCCTTTTATGCCTATAAGGTTCTTGTAGGAGGTATAGGACGCAGTCACTGAATTCTTCTAAATATCACAGTGAATTTAAATTTTCAAGATTATAACTCGGAAAGTTTCATCGAATCGGCATACATTTTGCAAAAATGCATTAATTTTCGATATCTCTCTATTTCCAAACGGCAAGTTAATATAAAGTCCTATCCAATGTGATTATTGACGGTCTCTTGATCAAACGTCGAGTCAGAGCGAGTGCGGTTTTATGCCGTAATTAAGTTCAAAGGAAATTACCTTACAAGGACTCATCAAAATTTCAAATATTTATATCCCATGAAATGAGGAAATCCTTATTTAGCAAACCAGGTAACCACTTGAGCTAATAATATTATGACACTTTATCATATAAGGACGAAAAGAATCGGACATCAAAGGCAAATGAAACCGATACTGCACACACGCGGTGAAACATGTGTCTGGTATCGGATTTCATTTTGCTATATAGCATAAGTATCGTTTTTTAATTTTTGCCCCCATGCCTAATTAGGTTAAGATCAAGTATCTTTCCAATACAGGGTTGCTTCTAAAATTTTAAAGTCAAGAGCAATTGATATCCAAAATAAAATTGACTGGTAATTTTTATGTATGTATGGAAAAATCGTCCCCTTTATTTCACTCGTTCACAGGAGGAGCATTTAAGTTTGTTGCTTTGGACCTACCACAGTTTTGACGCCTCTTCCTGCAACTGACGGGTCGTGTGTCATTATTTCTCTCTGCATGCATGCTATAACAAGAATCCTAAAAATTTCAGTTAAAATCTTTATGCATAATTTCCTTAGTTATCCTAAGTCATTATCAAGAATCGTCTTTAAAAAAACCTTCTGGGATCTTTTGAATAACACTGGTTTCTTTGAAAAACCGCTATTAGGATTTTTAATTGCTCGAACTTCCATTTATCGCTTTAATTAGTTTGCTCCGGCTCATTTCGAGAAGTCAAACAGCATATAAATTAAAATCAGATAAACATTTTGAAATTGTTTTTTTTTTAGTAGACTTTTGAGCATTTATGGCACTTTAAATGAGTTTGTCCTATTTAGAACGTGACTTTAACAACGTGGTTCTGCAAATATTTACTTTCAAGAAAACCGTTTTGCTTGATGTGTATGTAAATCGCCAAAACACAAAAGAGCTAAAAGCCAAAGAAAATCGACAACAATGTCAATGACGATGTAAAAATC